CAGCCACATGGAGATAGCAAAAATTTGGAATTGACGGAATCAGCGATTGGGGCAATCACGACCCGCGGAATCAGTCGTCGTGGGTCAGCTGCAAAGAGTCATAAAGAGTAGAGGCATAGAGGTCTCCGAGCTATGGGCGGGCACCGGAACTACTTACGGGAATTGTTGGAAACCAAAGCCCAAAGTGACGGAAGGAATTTGATGTACTCGTATGTACTCGTCCTGGCTACTCGGTATATTACGGTATTGACACGCTAAAGCTACGGGAATCGGGGATGCTGACCATTACGGATCCGTCAACGTGACACGTCGATGGTATCGATGGTCGGGCCAAGACGCCGCCTCGCCTGGACGGACGTCCGGCAGAGAGACGATGACTTGGCTCAGGGGGTTTTGGATGAAACGTGGCCAACTGCCGTCGTGATGTAGTTTCATCCATCCTTCACGTCCAAAGCCTCCCCATCTGCAGAGTCCATTTTTGGGAATAGCTAGGACACAGGACTGCATGCCTCGACATGGAGATGAAGCAAAGTAATGTGTGACAGATCTTCACCTTCAAGCCGCATCAGAGCAACAAATGGCCTTTCTTTCTTATGACCGCAGAGCAGCTGGCACTTAGTTACGGAATTTGTACATGGTTTGCCGGGTACTTGGGCCTCTGAGGCCTCTCAGCACCTGAGTTTCCCGGCCTTCGCTAAAAAATATTTCTTCGACATCACCTGACACTGCAACTCAAATCAAGGGAGACAAACTGCAAGGTCCCAGTCACCCTAGAAGATCCGCTAGAAGATTAGAACAAAGGAAAGCGAATCGAGTTGACAAGAGTTCAACAAAACTCCAGGTTTCTTCAAAACCGCCGTTCTTAACAAATAAACATTCAGCAACACACGCTCAACTGACTTCGATCGCTCTGCCTTTGGGTCGTTTTTGAACACGGAAGATGCCCTTGATGTGAAACGGCTGCGGCCATACGCAGTGCAAGGCTGGGCGGCTTCTTTTTCTGGTTTTGGCAGACGCCCCCTTATCTCATTCAACATGAGTATTGGTGATAGAAATACGGATGTCACATGATTTCTCTTCCAAGACCCGCCATCAATTGCCAATTCTTTGAGCAGCTAGAGCGGTGTTTTTTCTTTCGCCCTGAATGCTGAGCTGCCTTGGCTAACAATTCTGTTGAGCCATCGTAAGAGCTCTACGCACAAATTGACCAAGTCCTTTCCTTTTCGAACACAACATTCAAACAGCTGTCCTTCTCTCACAATCCCTCTCTCGACAGGAAGCACCTAGTCACTTGGGCGACACTTGAATCCTCTTATTCGGTGTGTCATTCGGTGACACGAATTCAAAATTCAATCCTGCTTGATGACAGAGCTGCAAAGCAATCACACAGCCAGGATCATTTCAGAACCTCAATTGCTGGCACTCGAAATGAGCCTCATCCAAGCAGTCGCATGCACATGCACAAATTGACTAATTGCAAGGTTGCTTCCAAAGAAGCATCAGTTCGGGTCGGGCCATCTCGATGGCAGCCTTGGATGAAAGCAATAAGAATCAGGAGGCTTCTCAAATACTCGTATGAAACCATGTCTCCCATGGTTACACTTCATGTGACTCGAGAAAGGTGTATACAAACCGGCTACCAAAAGGTTCATCTACCCTTGAAGCATCAATCACCTTGAGCGTTCAAGCGTCTGACACGAAGCGTTTAAGCATGTCGCCAGCTTGCTTAGGCAAGAACTGTCTTCATCTTGCTCCACAGCCGTGACATCGATCTGGCAAAATGCCGCCCTGCAAAGAGAAGCAATATATGATGCCTCTCACCATTGAGACCCCCTCCAAAGCGTGCAACATGTTCACCCAGCGGCCTACCAGTCCTCTAGGTTTGATCTGTGAACAATCTGTTGGCGTTCCGCATAGCAAAAGCAAAAATAGTCAACTTCAGCCAGGAAGTGCACACAGCTAAACGGTCGGGTGCCTGGGTGTTGTCTTTCATGTCAGGTCTCGGAGCCATTTGCTTCGTCGGATAGGACATCGATGTAGAGGTTCGGTTTTGCTTTCCTCAAGTCTCCCAAGGCTTGAAGCCCTCTCTTGCCTATATTGTTACGTGCTAGTCTCAGCTCCTCGACCTTGTTGCAACGTAATAACGTTGCAGCGATGTGTTCCACATCTTCATCTCCGAGTCCACAGGAGTCCATTTGGTAGGATCGTGCATTCGTCTTAGCCACTGCCACAGCTGTATTCAATGGCAATAGGTTGCCGGTGACTACGACCTCATCTAGATCTGCATAGAATGGCAAAGCTGCACAAAGAACATCAAGAGCATCTGCGTCCAAGTGTTCAGCCATCAACTGCCGGGTGGTCAAGACCTTCTCTGCAAAGACCTGAGCTTGGAGCTTCATGACAACTTCCTTGTCATCATGGTGGGTGAAACGGAGACCTTGTTCCTCCATCTTGTGGCGGAATAGGTCCGGTGGCATTGGAACGCAGGAGACTAATGACATCCGCAGGCTTGACCATTGCCGCTCAGCTTGACACCATCCTCGGAGCAAGTAAGGTGTCATATTGACCGTGAGTTGGTCAATTGGGATAGGAATCACACGCCCTGCCTTCTCAGAGAAAGCATTGACAGTTCCTGGACGCTTCCATGTCTCAGGAGTGAGC